GGAAAACCTCCCATGTTTAAATCATTAATAGGTATCTATAGTTCTTTTTGTCATCTCAATGTCATATTGTTCTCTCTCTCTCTCTCTCTCTCAACTCCCTCTCCCCAGCTCTGATAGTTCCTGCTTCAAACTACAGGACCTAGAATACCATCATCAGCTGCATCATCGTCAAAGTCAGATGCAGAAGATGACACTTTATCAGCTCTTCCGCCACCGCCACCACCACCTCCATTGCCCCCAACTGGTGATGCAGATTCTGTAGATGGGTCTGTGATTCCTGCATCTTTACCTTTACCTCCTCCACCACCTATGCCCCCAAAGCCTGCAATGACAGACATGGGTGCTTCATTGCCATTACCTCCTTTGCCCCCACCACCCCCTGGCCCCCCACCAAAGGAACATATCTCTGGCCATCTTCCACTTCCTCCACCTCCTCCCCGACCTCTTCATCAATCTGCTCAACCTCCTCATTCTGGCATTGTTGGAAATGAAAGGGATAAAAATCTTTCTGAACTGGATGAAATGTCTTCAACAGAGCAAAATCAGGTATACTTCTTATTAATAAGATATTTTGGTCATTTTGGATAAATGATTTATTTACTGTTTCTAGTCCTTTGCCCTAAAGTTATTCAGTCTTCTTAACTTTTCAGGCCTCGTCCATGCTTCCCCCACCACCTCCTCCACCAGGGTTGCCATTAAAGTCAGATGGCATGCCTGCTGACTCTGATGCTAAAGTTTTGGAAACAAAAGATCATCTTAAATTACCTCCACCACCTCCACGGCACCCTTCAGGTCTTGGACCTGCCATGGTCCCAACTTATCAGCCTGATGTATTACCTCCTGGAATATCTCGGTTCCCTCCACCCCCTCCTCCAATTGATATGCGGCCACCACCTGGAATTGCCATCCAGCCTGCTCCTCCTGGAATGATGGTCCCTCTCTTGCCAAGACCACCTTTTGGACCTCCTCCACTAATGATGAGACCACCACTTCCACCTGGTCCCCCTCCTTTTCAACAGGATGGTGCTAGACTGCTTGCTCCTCAAAAGCCATCATATGTCAAATCAGCTGCTTCAACAGTTATTAAGAGGCCTCTAGCTCAGCATACACCAGAACTTACATCTATGGTGAGTGATCTTTAATTTTACTACCTAATTGTTGTCCTCCTGCACTTATTTACATCAACTGTTACGTATTTTGTAGCATCATTTCAACGCAAACCTAATATATTAGATTGGAGTGTTATCCCCATCCAAATTGTGGATGAAATCAAGGGGATTATGGGCAAGTTCAAATCCTTGTCCAATGTTTGCTAGGAGGGTTAAGCACTGTATAGCATGCTAGTTATATACTTTAATTGTTTGGCCTAATATTTTTTAGAAGTTCGCGCCGAAATATCCTTGGTCAAGTTCAAATTTCGCAGGTGCAAATTTCTGTAACACTAGGCTCTTATTAATTTTGTCACCCTACAACGCCTTGAAGTTTTTTTTTTAAACCATCAAAAGTCAAAACAAAAACATCAGAAAATAGAAAACGATAAATCAAAAGATGGAACTATGAAGTAGAAAATAATACAATTTAAAAAAAAAGAATCATACAACCACAGTACAGAAAGTGACAAAAGCGGAAAAGGAAAAGAAAGCAGCCAAAAAATGAAAATAAAGAACTCAAGAAAGAAAAAGATGTGAAGATTGGATGGAGGTTGTGTGTTGTCATCAGGAGGCTAAAGAGGACATATCAGGGTTCGGGGTAAGGATGTATCCACTTAATTCATTTAAATTAAAAAATTTGTTGAAGAAACTACAGATGCTTTGAGGAAAGGCTAAGAGTCTGAAACTGTATTTAAGCCAGAGTAGTGGTGTTTGCATCAATTAGCTATGTGGTATAACCTCGTGAATGCATGCAAAGTAAATGATATTTTGCTAGACCTCTTAGTTGCAACTCTTCAGTAACAGACATGGAGAGATCTCTATACACTTCTTTTACCTTCCTAGCGTTATCTTAGTGCTGTTGTTGGTTGATGAATAAAACTTTTTGAGGGATATGCACCTTAATAATCTACTGTGTACCTAAAAGATCATTGTCTTGTTGAACTTATTTTTCTATCCAAAACAATAAGTAAAGATGAGAATTTATACTGGGATCTGGACTTGTTCACGTTTGATTCAACACATCACTTATGCTTTCCTATAGGTCCCTGCATCTGTGCGTGTGAGGAGAGAATCTGCGCTCCCAAAACCCAAGCCAAAGTCATCTACTGCGGTTACAATCAACCAGCCTGCAGTAACTCCGCCTGTTGTCAAGCATGAATCTACAAGCACACCTGCACCAAAACCTCAAAGCATTGATGACTCGTATACAGCATTCTTGGAGGACATGAAAGCTCTTGGTGCTCTCGAAGGATGAAGTGACATCAAATAGGAGAGAGGAAGAGGAAACAAGTGGCTGTTGACAATCTGATGAGTTTGATATCTCTGTGACCATGTCTTGTGCTACTCGAGTGTCCACAACTTTATGGTGCTTTGATGTATCGACCATCTCATTCTTTCTTCGTGTGTATGATCTATGATTCATCTGTGTTCTGATTTTATCTTCCTCAGCATTTTGTCGCCTCTAATGAGCAGTTGATATGCGTTAGTCCAGAGGAAGTTGGAAAACATATTGTAAGATGGATTATTTCAAGGATCTTTCTTTTGGCTCTGCTTCCATTGTTTTATTTTTCTAACCATCATAGAACAAATTGACATTGATTTTGAAAAAACAAAACATTTTTTTTATAATAAACATCTGTAGAGTGGGAAATAATTTTAGCAGCTACGTTTGGTTGATTACTTAACTTTCACCTTGTTGGTGAGAGTTAGATTAACATCTTGTAATTCAATATGTTTTCTAACTTGAAATTCTTGGATCCTATCTGGGGTTTAATATCTGCTAGAGGTGGCAAATGGGCGGGTTGGGTCAAATGTGAGCTAGTTGAAAATGGGTAAACATAAAATGGATAATCATTCAATCTGCTTATATTTGATATCTTTAAAAATGGGTTGGATAGAATATTGATTTTATCCATATTTCATGAATAAATAGTTCTTTTTTAGATGAAATCTGTTGAAAATGTTTCATTTAGTTTTATTTTATTATAAAAGTAAAAAAAAATTTAAAAAGTTTCGGGGTGGGGTGGTTGATAGGGGGCTAGCGGGGGGAGGGGTCCAGGGTAGGGTAAAAAAAATTTGAAGTTAAAAATATTGTTTAAACAAACTTAATATTTTTGAAGGGTAAGGATTGGTTAGGGGTAAGGGTGGGGGTGGGAGACGATGGTTGGGGTGGGGTGGGTCCAGGGTGGGGTGAAAAAACATATATTTGAAGTTGAAATTTTTAAAACAAACTTAATTTTATTTTGGGTTGGGGTTGGGGTGGGGGTGAGGGGTGATGGGGGAAGGATGGTAGAGATGAAAAAATGAAATTTGAAAATGAAAACATTTTTTAAAAAAAATAAACTTTAATTTTTTATTTTTTTTTGGGTGGGGTGAGGGGCTGGTGTGGGGTGGGTTAGGGGGGATCGAGGGTGGGGTGAAAAAATGAAATTTTGAAGTTCAAAATTTTTTTTATAAATAAACTTTAATTTTTTTTGAAGCGTGGGTGGAGGTCGAGAATTGAAATATTAATATGGACCAATATATGAAAGTTTTGGTAACAAAAGTTTTTTTGAAAATTTGAAAAAAAAACTTGCAATATTCATATTTGACCCGTAGTTTACCCACAGTATACACATATTTTAATGGGTAAAATATGTGTATAATCCCAAATATTACCTGTATTTAAAATCACTCTTTCAACCCATATTTGAAGGGCTATTTGGGCAGATAATTAATAAATGAGCTTAAATTGCCAACACTAATATTCGCATTAGAACTCGACTACTTCAGATTTCCGCTGCCTAGGGCCCTATTTGGAAAACGCTCCCTAGCAAAGATTTTTTTTCCATATTTAAAGTTCAAACTTGATATCCGTGCTACAATGTCATTTGAATTTTATTGGCGATTCTATTAATTTTACGAGAACCATATTTTTGTGACCTTGGTAGTCAAATTAATTTGTATGAGTACTCGATAAATAAATTTAAATAAAAAAACGAATCTGCACAAAAATTAATATATTTCTTTTTGACTTTCTTATCATGGCATGGTCTCAGTGCAGAAATGAAACAAATTTGGACAAGATCTTTTACGTCAATTCTACTCCAAGATCACTATTGTTGCAATATTTGTCTCGAATCCTAATTAGATCGAGTAATCAACCAACTTATCTACTTCGATTTCCAAATTGTGTTTATTTTGACTCCTAATAAAAACTCTTACTCCGTTCAATTACCCTCATAATTATATATAGTTATGAACTATAGCTAGACTATAGAGCCAATTTTGTGCAATCAGTGGGGACAAGAAACCAACCAAGATCCATCCAGCCTGTCTTTTGTCAAACAAATTCAGTGTTTTCAGGTCTACCATCCAATATTTAATTCTGGTTCTATTTTTAACAAACGCTATAGCATGTAAAGTCAACTACTTGGTAATGGGCCTCTCATCTCTATGTGCACATTTTGTCAAATGACCCTTGTGGTTAAGAGAAAATGACAGATTGATATGGAAGAGAAATAAATATTTTAAAATTTGCAGATGGATTGATGGTAAGATATGGACCAATAACACACAAGTTGGTAGGTGTGTTCAAAAGTTTGAAGCACAAAAAGTTAAAAACATTTTATAGATAAATCTTACTTTTTGTCTCTTCAGTCAGTCTGCTTCCTATTAGGAACTCTGATGTAACTGCAATATTAATTCTTCTTTTAGCAATGGGAAGGAGTCATTTTGTCATATTCATCATTCTTTTGAACTTACTGCAGATTCTTGATCCTTCTTTTTCACTTCCCTTGTGTACTGATTCAAGTAAGTTACATTCAGTCCATTAGAAGTTCTATCTTGAAAAAAAACTTCTTATTTGCAGTTAATCTATTGAGGGAGTGTATCCGGTTTTTCGAATTTTATATCTGAACTATCACTAAGTGTTTATCGACACACACCTCAACTATCCGTTGTTCCCTTTTCCTACCTGAATGATGGTGATATTCTAGGTTGGGAAAGGGAACAACTGATAGTTGAGGTATGTTTCGATAAACATTTGGTGATAGTTCAGGTTGGGAACTCGGAAAAAGGAATACTTGATCTGTGTTTTTGACCATTAACTCTTGTCTGTTCTGTTTTTTTAAAATTTGATTGGTGCTACTTCATGTGTTACAGGGGCTCCTTTTCAGCAAAAGACTCCTCTAGCATTCTGTTCTTACAATGGAACCTCATGCTGCAACTCCACTGATGATAAACAACTTCAAACTCAGTTCAATGCTATGAACATTTCTGATCCTGGATGTGCTTCTCTTGTAAAATCTGTCATCTGTGCGGTAAGAAGATACTCTTATAGTTTCTTGCTCTTTCGGTTTCTGTTACTCCTATTTATTGATACTTGTACTTTGATTATCGTATTAGTATTTTGTTGTAGTTACTGTTTCTTTTTCAGAATGTTTTTTAATGCCATATTGAGTATAATGCCTTGATTTTTTTTACTCCTATTATTTTCTTGAGCCGCGGGTCTATTGGAAACAGTCTCTCTGTCTCCCAAGGAAGGAGTAAGTTCTACGTACGCACTACCCTCCTTAGATCCACCTGTAGAATCACACTGAGCATGTTGTTCTATGCAGTAAAAGGATAATCTTTGTGATTCCTTATAATTATCTTACCAAAATGAGAACACTTGAGTTTTGAACAAATGAATTTTCTGTTTTTGTTTTCTTGCTATATGAAGATGTAACTATGAGGTTTAACTCTAATCATTTTTGTATAAAGAACCTATATTATCTCAACAATTAGTCCACTTCTAAGTATTTCAGCAACCTTTATTGGATTAAACCAAAACTCTGTCATGCCCCTTTTAACTCTTTCTTGTTTGTGAAGCTCAAAATGATCTATTTACTTTTAATAATCTGCTTCATGGTAGGTCTTTTAGGTATCTTTACTAACTACTAGTATCCAGATAGTACAAGTTTTAAGGATTTAACTTTTGATATCCATTTTTCTCACCTTTTGCAGATGTGTGATAAATTTTCAGCAGAGCTGTTCAGAACTGATTCTGTTCCTCGAGAACTTCCTATCTTGTGCAACTCCACAACTTCAGAAAATTCAAACAAAAGTAGCCAAACTAAGAATGACTTTTGCTCTAAAGTATGGACTACATGTCAAAATGTGTCTATCATAAGTTCTCCTTTTGCTGCTTCTGTCAAGTCCAATTCCACAAAGTTGACAGATCTATGGAAATCACAAATTGATTTCTGTAATGAGTTTGGTGGAGCTTCTGGGGTTGGATCAGTATGCTTCGCTGGAGAACCTGTCAGCTTAAATAGCACCACACCTATAAGTCCTCCAGGAGGTTTGTGTCTTGAGAAAATTGGAAATGGTAGTTACATCAATATGGTTGCTCATCCTGATGGCTCTAGTCGTGCTTTCTTCTCGAATCAGCAAGGGAAAATATGGCTGGCTACTATTCCAGCAGTCGATTCAGGAAAGCTGTTAGATCTTGATGAATCTAGTCCTTTCTTGGACCTAATAGATGAAGTTCATTTCGACACTGAACTGGGAATGATGGGGATTGCATTTCATCCAAAGTTCTCACAAAATGGACGATTCTTTGTTTCATTTAACTGTGATAAGCAAGCTTGGCCTGGATGTGGAGGAAGATGTTCCTGTAACTCAGATATAGACTGTGATCCATCAAAACTACCTAGTGATAGCGGCTCCCAACCATGCCAATATCAAGCTGTGATAGCAGAATTTACTGCTAGTGGATCCCAGCCAACACAGGTACTTTTGAGAGTCTAATGGATGTTTTGTTCTCACTTTGTTTAGCTCTGAATGCTAATAAATGAATCTCAACTTTCCAGGCAAAAACTGCCAGCCCAAAAGAAGTCAGAAGGATATTCACCATGGGCCTTCCATTTACAGGTCATCACGGAGGTCAGATACTCTTTGGACCGAGAGATGGATATTTGTACTTCATGATGGGCGATGGCGGAGGTATAGGTGATCCTTACAATTTTTCCCAAAACAAGAAGTCATTGCTGGGAAAGATTATTAGGCTTGATATTGATAGCACATCCAGTAAGTCACTACTCAGTTTTATATGTGCTATTATCGATGATCTTGCTACTACTAAGCTACCTCAAAAGGATGTTTAGGGAAAAAAAGATGCTAAAAAGCAATCTGAATCTTCATAACCCCTGCTATATATCAACCAGAAAGTGAAATTGTCTTAATTATCTCGGCTAAGCTAGAAGTTTATCAAACTCACGACCAACAAATCCATTATCCTTTTCTTACTTTGGCAAGTAGATTGGCTGCTTAATTGTCTACTGGAAAGACCAGTAGAACTTAGTAGAAGGTAACAATGTGCTTTCTGAGGATGAGGAAATTTCTTCCTATTATTTGTCTACACACTTTTTACTGTGCCTCATTTTCAGTTGCTCTGCATTGGCCATTTTTTCCAGGCTTCTCATCTAAACCTTAGTCCTTTTCATCATTGATCTCAAAAATAGAGAAGTGTTCAACTTTCTTGTATGTTTAAAAGTTCACTACTTTATTCTACTGGTGTATCAGTTCTTGCCCCTTACTTTGTATCTGGTGCCTGTTCCCTTAGGTGTAGAAGAGATCACAAAGCTCGGTTTATGGGGAAACTACTCTATACCAAAGGATAATCCTTACGCTGAAGATAAAGAGTTGCAGCCTGAAATATGGGCTCTAGGAATGCGAAATCCTTGGCGCTGCAGCTTTGATTCTGCTAGACCATCTTACTTCATGTGTGCTGATGTAGGACAGGTAAAGTACATGTCTTTTACTCTACAAGAATGTGATCTTTTAAATCTTGTTTCAAACAGATGTATCTTGACATTGTACTCACAAGCATTTTATGATTGTTTCATAGGATAAATTCGAAGAGGTGAATATAATCAGCAAGGGAGGTAACTATGGCTGGAACGAGTACGAGGGTCCTTACCTTTACACTCCTTCGAAATCTCCCGGAGGAAATAAATCTATGAGCTCCATAAACCCCATTTTCCCAGTCATGGGATATAATCATTCTGATGTGAACAAGAATGGAGGGTCAGCATCAATTACTGGTGGATACTTCTATAGGTCCATGACTGATCCCTGCATGCATGGAAGGTGAGCCCTTTTGAATATATCCTTTTGTGGTATTAGAACGTCTCACATTGGTTGACGGAGTAGTTTCTCCTTATATGGACTTGAACAATCCTCATCTCATAAGCTAGCTCTTGAGATTGAGTTAGACTCAAGGTACATACTGTTTACATGATATCAACACTAGACTCATCCCTATTCTTGATTTATTCAATTTGGGCTCACATGCTATATTGTCCACGCTTCAAATATCAAGTCTCGCGTGTGCGGGTATCAGAATGTCCCACACTGGTTGTTACCTTTTTATTTGTTTTAGGCACTCCTCATCTCTGACCTAGATTTGGAGATAAGTTAAAATTCTATATACTGTTGGTCGAAGGAAACTAAGGAATTTTTATACCAGCATGTCACATGTATATGTTATAGTAGGGAATCTATCACATTTTACGGAGACTTAACTACGGATATCATGTGAATGACATGATAATGTAAAGAAATCTTCATACCACAGTGTATGTAACTTAAACTCTTTCGAGATTGAGTTAGGCCAAAGTTCATTTTCTTAAACTATTGTAATGACAGGTGAAATTTTGCAGGTATCTTTTTGCTGATCTGTATGCAGGTTTCATGTGGGCAGGCACTGAAAATCCAGAGGACAGTGGAACTTTTAACACTAGTCAAATTTCTTTCAACTGTGCTCAGAAATCACCAATAGATTGTACTTCTGTTCCTGGAAGCTCAGTTCCAGCTTTAGGCTACATATTTTCATATGGTGAAGATAACAATAAGGACATGTATATTCTTGCAAGTAGTGGAGTTTACAGAGTTGTTCGTCCCAGTCGATGTAAATACACTTGTGCAAAGGAAAATTCTTCTGCTGTTGATGATGATATCCCATCTAGTCCTCCTCCTGCTTCCCCTCCTTCAGCAGCAATCATGTTAACAGGTTCATACAGTAACTTTGTAGTCATTTTAATGTCACTTATATTGATGCTGACTAGTTGGCTTTAATGTATAGAGAGATACAGAGGCTTCTCAATTGACAAGTCTTGTACAATAAAGCTATTCTTTTCTCTTTATGGAGTTGTATCAGATGTAACATATCAATTTTCTTTTTATGGTAAAGTGTTCAAACATCATCAGTAGCGTAGAATCCCCCCCGCTTTATGAGATAATAACTATTAGTCTTGTAAATTCGTTGGCTGGAAAAACGTATCGTAACGATAGAGCAACACCGCTTGTGAAAAATCCTGCTAAGCCAACTGTTTGGAACTACCAAGAAACCATTAGGACAACTTGACTATTATACAGCTGATACCACTTCGATGGTCAACCTTTATATGCTATTTAGGAAAAGGAAAATTGTCAATAGAGAATTGAACTGTCATTTTCCCTTAATATCTTTGGCATGCCCAACAATCTGCTTTTTCTATTCATTTTGCTGCTGCTAAGATCTAACAGTATGTTCATATTCAAAAATCAACATAGCATTTCAAGTGTCAACTTCCCCACACAGCCACCTTTTATGTTTGACCATAGTACTTCATGTTGAATACTTATATTGAATCAGTCAACCTCATTCCTTAAAATACATACCACAAGACATTTAAACCAGATGAAACTTCATGGAATCTTAAATTTGTTACTTTCTGCTGCTGTTAATGTATGATAAGTTACATACAAACGTATGTGGGAATATTCTGAAATGCACATTTATGTACTTACTTCAAAAAGTTATGTTATGAAGACAGGGAAGGTAGAGAACGCAATAAAAAAAATTTTCAAGGCGCCTAAGTAGCCCTATCATATAAAGAAGTCTTCCAGAGAATATACAGATCATGGTAATATTAAACTGCAAAACTTGTCTATCCTAGTTCGTGGGATTGTTTTCAGATTCCATTCGGTCTTCAAATCCGAATTGTCATCTCATGTTACAGCATTGAGGCCGGCCTAGCTGTTGTAATTTGTTCCACATACAAATCATCTGTCTAGG